AAGCCTTCCGGCGGCGTAGCCCCAGAGGAGCCGACAGATTCATCAGAGCGTACTGACGTCGCTCTGGCCTTGCCGCGGCGCCTCTGGCTACGCCTGGAACTGGAAGTATTACTCGCGGTGTCGACCATGTTACCGTACGTGATTCGGTTTCACGGAGGTCGCAAATAATGTAAGACCCGAGGAGGATGCTCGACTACAAGGGTCGGGGTTTGTTGGCTACGCCGGATGAGCACGGTAACACAACGAGGGTAACGGTGGTACGCAGTACTGACCTAATGATCTAGGCTGTCTAGGCTGGAGAGAGTGGATCTCGACTCAGGCTAGCAAGCAGAACAAGGAAAGATAGTATTTGCGACGGAGGCCAAGAAGGAAGTACAAGGGGCCGCTCGTCGCGGGGGAAAACTACATGACAGGGATGGCCGCTGGCGGCGGCGACGCTCGGCGGCGGCAATCGGCGGCGATTGATGGCAGCGGCAATCGGCGGCGGCGGCGATCGGGGGCGGCGGCGATTGGCGGGAATGTTCTAGTATGGGCGCGGCGTCGGACGCGTCACGGGGCGCGTCCTGACACAACCCTCTAGCAATAGTATAACATACTTGCCCGTATCACCAGAGCCTCCCAAACCCCGTACCTGGGCTTCCTGAGGCCTCACCCAAAGTTCCTGGATTACATGAGCGTAGCCCCGACCAACCCGACCGTGCCGTTATTGGTCGTGACAATGCTCTAACACCTGAGACAAAAGGGCACTACAGTGATTCTCTGCCTGGAATCACTGGGCGTGGGTACTTAAGCTCTGAATACGTGACCACCCAAACAGATCCATGGATGCTGGATGCACCTTTTTGGCTTTACGGCATAAAATCTCATGGCGCGCGCGTATGGCGCGTATGGCGCGTGTATGGGAGCATATGGCGCGCATATGGCACGCAGTTTGCCTGCGCACTTTTATGGCGTAAAAGTAGCCTAAGCCATCTCCATGGAGGTCCGGCGCGTCTTTTTGGCAGGGAGATTGTCTGCGCATCCGCTTTGGCGCTGTAAAAGTCTTGGGGCATATATATAGGACCTCCAGGCGCGTTTTTTGGCTGGGGATTTGGCTGCGCATCCGCTTTTGCGCCGTAAAAGTCTCGGGGCATATGTATAGGGGTAAAGGCCAGGGCGCCAGTCACATGATCTCCACCCTCAGGGGTAGGGGTACAAGTGCTGATCACATGACTACTTCACTGCCAGGGGTAGGGGTACAAGCACCAGTCACATGACATCTTCACCCTCAGGGGCAGGGGCGCAGGCACTGATCACATGACCTCCTTGAGTAGGGGCAGGGGTACAAGCGCTGGTCACATGACTACTCCATGGCCAGGGGTAGGGGCGCGTGCGCAAATCACACCACCAAAAGGAGCTTAGGGGTAGGGACTGGAACCCTGCATGACCCTGCATGAGCAAGGGATAAAAAGTCGTCCCTGGGGGGATCTAGGGCCTCTTCTAAGTGCCATAGGGACTGCCCCTTGCGCTGGAAGGGGCGTCTGTGACCAGAGATAGGGCCGTGTCCCTGCAGAATGCTAGGGGCAATCTCTAGAAAAAATCCAGAGATGACGTGCAGCCCCTGCAGATTCTAGGGGCTACCCCTGGAAATTCTAGAGATTTTTCACTCTTTGGCCCATACCTCCACCAAAACCCCCAGGGTAGCATCTGAAACTTCAACAGCAGTATCAGGGCATCTTTCTGCTTCTTCTGAGCCCATGTTGTTTTTTTAAATCCCTTTGGGAACCCGTATGTAACCCTAACCCTAACCCTAACCCTTCAATTTCCCCACCCCACTCTCATTTACTTGCACTAACACCTCCTCACTTGCTTACTCCTTGCCCACTTTCACTGCACATCCCTGCACTGCTTTGCATCCCACCACACTCTCTCATTTACTTGCACTAACTGCCTATCTGCACTTTGCTCCACCAAACTTTCATTGCTTCACTGCCCTCCTTTTCTAATTCCTCTCCTCTTTCTCCATTGCCTCCTCATTCACTGAGTGACCCTCTCTCCTCGTAGCCCTCTCATTTACAAGCACTAATATGCCCCTCATCAACTGACTGACCCCCTCTCCTCACAGCTCTCTCATTAATGCGCACTAACATCACCTGATCCCTTCTTTCTCCACCCCCCTCTCTTATTTACTTGCACTAACACACTCTCATCTACCAACTTGATCCCCTTCCAACTCTCTTGTTTACTGACTCTTCCCTGCGCAATCCATCCCTCAAAACCCTTTTATTGACTGACTCTTTACCTCCCACATGCACGTGCACGCTCATCCCTGACCATCTCACACCGGCACGGTGAGAGTACGTTGACCCTCCTAAAAACGGACCTGCAATATGTTCTAGTCGACCGGGGTCAGTCATAAGCTGGGCCGATTATTCAGATGTAATGATCTCGCCAAGCACGATCACGCCACCGACTCTCGTCTGCATTTGCAGAGACCTCGTTCCGGACGCTATAGCACCCGTGGCCCACAGAAGTCCGCGGGCGCGGCCACGATTTCAAAGCGGCGGAACATCGTGGTATCAGGCGCGCGGGATAAATACGGCTGCGCCACAGAGGCCGGCGAACGTAGGAGCGCGCAAGGCCCGAGTAATTCACATCGCTCGTTTCGACGCCCAGCATGCACTCGCAAAGTACATTAAGCCCTAAACGGTTAGGGGTGGTGGACTTCTACATCATGGTTTTGTATATAAAGGCTTTTGACCCAAATTCCCTCCGCTCGACCTCCCCCTCCATTCGCAACGATCTCATGCAAAGAACACTTGAACGTCAAACATCGCAATCAGAATCGGAAACCATCACCAAGCAGACAACAAAGCTCGCAAACCAGTACTCTAGAGAAGTTTCCCTCATAGCCATGAAATACCTACTTTCGCTGGTGCTGTTGCTCTCAGGTCTAGCAGTCTCGTCTGCGCAATTGATAAATCCACCAAGCCATCTCATTACAATCGTCCACTACTGTACGTCATCTGGCCCGTTGCCTTTATCGCTCTCTTGTTGACAATCCGACCGCTGACATCGTACCGATAGTTCTCAACAAGCACCCAGATGGAATGAACGAAGACGACATTCGCTCAGTCTGGACTGACGCGTGCCTTGCGGCAGGTGGGACCAATGGCAACTATTTTGGTGGCTATCAGAACGAGGCCCACTGTTTCGCTTCGTAAGTGTGAGAGTCGCTAGCCCGCGGCGGTAAATCGTTTGACCAGAGAAACCTTTTTTGTCCTTCTCCAACGCAATGGCAGGCCTTCGGGGCTTGATAAAGCACCTGCAGCAATTGCAGCGCTGCAAGCGAAGCAGCCAGGCCAATGGGAGTTTGCGAAGAAAGGCTGAGCAGGCTTACGCCTCAACGTGCGGGGCCTAGATGTGAACTTGCATCCACACCATCACAAAGGGTGACTCAGCTGGATAGACTAGCTACACCACGCTGATGTCGATGTGTGAGATGTTGTTCTCGCTCGCTCAGGTCTTCCAAATGTATTTCGAGGGTCCAAGCTTGGGAAATGAGACATCGAGTCGAGTCTAATCCCGCGAGCCTCATGACGTCGAAACTCAAAGAGCGCCTTCTTTGCATGCTATCAATTCGGGTTCTGGGCATGCTGCACAATGTGCACTATGTTCAAACCCAGAAACGATATCGTAGTGACCGCGCCAAACGCACGCACATATCATGACTCGGCTGCTATCAGCCTGGGCCGGAAGTCGCTGTTCGTACCGTGCCTTTCAGGGTCAGCTGGCACAAAGTCGACGACCCGTAAACGTGCGACTACAGGCCCGGGCGAGCGGACGATGCAGCACGCGGTGCGAGACCCGCAGGTCCAGAGTGTTGGCAGCGCAAATTCCGCGTAGATTCAATACGTGGGGGTGCGAAGCTGGAGGTAAGAAGAGCTTGCCGCTGAGCTCGAAAGTAGAGTCAGCCACTGCGTAGCAGCGTCGAGACTTGCAGAGATTGGGTCCACTGTAGGTCGGGCTACGAATCAGACCCCTTCGCGGGTATCCGCGGGCGCACAAAATTTGCGAAGAGACAGAGAAGGCGAGAGTCTGGGCGCACGCCAGTTTCGTTACGCCATCGCGGTGCAAAAGGAAGACGACGAGGCACAAACACCCCATTTACAGCCAAAGATATCGATGAGAGCGCGCACACGCTGCTCGCACTTGCGCAGTCCACCTGGGCACCGCGTAGAAACGAGCGTCACAAGTACTTTAGGCGTTCCCGGAACGCCACGCAGACCGCAAGGACTCCGTCTGCTCGGCATCTCTACATTTACGGGTCATGGATTTGCTCGAATCGCCACTTGTTCTCTCGTGTGCCTCTTCAGTAGTAGATCGAGCTTCCTGAAATACGCCCTGCTCGATCAAAGCTGCTTCTTCACTTCGACCCATCTCCAAAAAGCGCTCATCTGGCAAAGTCTAGAATACCTTACAAGAAACCTCCGCCAATTACGACTATTCGTTCAATCTCTTGCACATCATGAAGACTGTTATGATCGCTGGGCTGATGTTGTCGAGCTTTGCACTGGCTAGAAGCTTGGATCTCGCTGAACGAGACGGGCCTCACGTCGTCTTTTACTGTACGTCGGCTCGTTTCAAGCTTCACGCAATACCGGTGAATCTATGCTCATCCATATCGAGATCCTCACTACTTCACAGCGGTGGACAAGCACCCACAATGGAGTGACGACGCCATCGACAGTACATGGAAAGACGCGTGTCACAGCGCTGGAGGGGACAGTGGTGGCTACCAAGGTGGAATCGTCAATCAAGTCACCTGTTTCATCGGGTCAGTCAAGAACATCGCCTAGCGGGCTACATTCGTTGAGCCGTCGCGTGTGCCACTGTTCTCGCGGCTGGTATGCTCGGGCGTCCTGACTTGTCCCTTCCTTCCCTCTCCTGACTGAAAACGCAGAGGGAAGACCGAGAATCGTGCGCCAGGAGCAATCGCGTTGTTGCAGCAGAAGCAACCCGGCCAATGGGAGTTTAGCCAAATGTAATCATGAGCACATGGACTTACACAGCTTCCCTGGCGTGGCTGCCATACGCGACGTCAAAAAGCCTTCTAGGCACAGAGTATCAAACTTGGAGGCCTGGAGTATCACCTTGTGGATAGGAGTTTGAACCGAGACTCTCACGACATGAGACGGTGACTCGGGCGCTGCGCCCGTCAATGTATGCAATTTTTGTGCGCTCAAAAACTTCGTCGTCTCCCTGTGATTCTCTGTGAGCCCGGCCGCAGCGGTAACAAGAGGATCTCGTGACCATCGATACGTTCAGCTATAGGCTGCCGACGTACATGTTCGAGCCAGTCGATTCGCGCAGCTAGGCGGCGTGACCACAGCTGTGTTCACAAAGCTACACATGCTATCATTGGCTCGAGAATTACCCGGCGTCTGCTTCAATTAGGCTAGCAAATCTTTGACGCAGCGTGCAGCGGCGTCACAAATAACGCTCCCTTGCCGGGGTTTGGCGCAGTCGGACCTACGCCTGCCAAGTACTCTCCCGGGTGCGGCGCTCGAAGCAGAGAGAGATTTCCGCAGACTTTCATCACGTACTGCATGTCCTACAGGCCTTCACGGTCGCTCGAATCTAGGCAGACAGAAGTGTTATCTCCACTGAAAACGGAAGAAGAGGCACCGCAATTACGCCCACTGCCGGCGTACATAGTCGTCAGTGTCTCGGTACAGCATTCAACGCCCACCTTGAGTCGCGCCAGCTATGTGTCACTGCAGCGCGTCGGTACTTGTCCCTACAATCTCATCCCCAGGGAAAAGTATATAAAGCACTCGAAATACTCGAAGATCCTCGCATCAAGTCCCAAAAGTAGACGACTTTGTGAAACCTGCACAATCCAAGACCCGCTATTCAAGTTTTGCAAACACTGCTCATACTCTCAGCACACAGCATACTCACGACAATGATGAAGTCTATCCTCCTTTCCGTCCTCTTGCTGTCCGTCTTCGTCGCCCAGGCAGCAGGTCAAACGAAGAGCAAAATCAAATACTATTGTTCGTAAGCTTCTTGCCAGCGTAGCTACCCTTGTCTTTTCTAACTTTCAAAATCTTGTTTTCGGCTCTGCCCTGCCCATGACAGCGGTTCTCCGCAGGCCCGCAGGATGGACCGACGGCCAAGTGAGCAATGCTTGGGTACCCGAGTGCAAGGCGATTGGAGGCTCGACCAGCGGTCTCCAGTATGGCAGAGTAGCTTGTTTTATTGGGTAAGTGCCCGTGCTTTCAGCCCTGCAAGTCGACTCGTAGATGAAGGACCTGACGTGATTGTACTCGCTTTCCACGCAGACCGGGCGGCGCAGACCTAGGAGGTCGTGTAATTTCTGCCCTACAGAAGAAGAACCCCGGCGAGTGGCAGTTCGGCAACGCTTAGTGACGGACCTTGTCTGCTGCCGCTCGTTTGGAGAAGTTGCCAGACTCATCGAAGGACCCCGCAGCAAAGCTGTGCTACCGCTATCTCCGTCACTCGATCCAAATTAGCCTCGCGAATGTCATGCCCTCTTTCCTGATCTTGTGCTGCGTACGCAGATCTGCGTACGCCGCCCGTATCTCCCACCTCGAACTCTAGCTTGAATTAATCCAGTATCATCGTGACCCCAGCGCAAGACGCATAGCAGTATCGCCGACTTGTGCGTTGGAAAGGGCCGTGAACTTCGTGCCCGACACGTGTTATGGAAAGGACGGTGAGCTTCGTGTCCATTCGCGAGGACCTGGCGGGCGCGCTGGCGGGAGCTTGATTGCCCTACTGTGTGCAGACGGGAATGTTCTTATTCCGAAAGGCGTTGCCATGAGACCTGGGTAGACGCCGGCAGGGGCGTGAAACTATCTTGCTAATCTTGTAAGACGCTCGAAAGTGTCCTTGCGCTACAGTCATCTGAAGGATGGCTACAAATACGAAGCCCAACTTGTCAACGCTCGCTATCCCTCCCCCCTCCCCTCCTCGAGACTCAACAATCTAGCGAGACGCGCAAGCTCATCCTCGGATTTCTTCAGCGCTGCTCACTCACACTGGCAGCACGCGGAATGCTGGCGCCAACGATGAAGTCTTTCACCCTTCCAATTATCCTCATGTCCTGCTTCACGGCTGCAATCGTGGCTCAAGAGGGGCCGATACGAAGTGCAAAGTCCCCCATCCCTCACTACACTTCGTAAGGCTCTTCTCGATGCCATTTCATGCCGTGCTGCTGACGAATTTCTCTGCTCTCGACCGCTCGTCTCCAGATCTCATCAAGCGTCCGAAAGGCTGGACCGACGACCAGGTTAGCACAGCCTGGACGAATGAATGCCATGCGATCGGAGGCTCGACCAGCGGCTACCAGGCCCTCGCGAACCGAGTCGAGTGCTGCGACGGGTGAGTATCAGCAGCAGCGGGGTCATGGTCCTTGGTGTGCTCGTTTCTGATGTGGATCGTACGTGACGTTGATCTTTTCGAACGCAGGCCGACAAATGCAGACAAAGCTGGCTCGGTGCTTGCGGCGCTGCTCAAGCAAAATCCAGGCGAATGGGTCATAAAGAAGATTTAGGCGGCCCGACACCTTCGTGCAGTCGCTGCTTGACGTCAAGTGGCGACCATCATCAAGGACTTTCGCAGCAACCTTGTGCTTGTTCGATCCCTATCTTAGCGAGGCTCGTCAATGCAATTCACGACTGTTCACATCTCTCTGGGGCATCTGAGATTTTCGGATTCATCTTGACCGCGATTGGGGTTACTGGAGGCGGGCGTCTCCGCGAGCAGCTGTTCAGACACTGACTCAACGCTTGTCCATGCGGTCAAAAGTGTTCATTCGCAATCGACTGGCTGGGTAGCTTCTCGCTTCACCTGTTCTTCGATGTTCAACCCGGAGCGGTGCTTCAAGAAGCACGTGCATGTGTATGTCCGGGTGAGGGGTGTCTCGTGCGGTGCTCGGTTGCGTGCGATGCTCGGTTGACTGCGATACTTGTGTTGCCTTCTTCGTCTGCACCCGTTTGCAGAAGATGTCTGCGTGATGCCTGCCGCTCCCACCCATCCCTTCTAGCTTGGAAACGCCTCGACTGCATCATCTGAGATGGCGTAGAGAATTTCTAGAATGAGAGCCATCGAGTAGTCTTGCTCCGCCTAGTTGGCCTTCACTTGAGGCTCCAAGTCGAGCCAGACGCAATGGTAGGCATTGATGGTGACGTTGACATGCGCGGCCGCCTGTCTAAAGGAAGGCCCATGCTTGCCGCATCGAGTGCAAATCCAGTCCATCTTGGCGTGCGCCGAAGCTTGGTGCTGCTTGAGCGACAAGAGCCTCCTGCTTCTGAAACGCGCCGGAGAGTTATCGGCATTGCGAGTGGGATAGGAATGCGGGACAGTGCTGCAAGCCCAGCATTCCCAGTCCTCCGCTTGCGAATCCGTTGCCAAAAGCGCGGACATGCGCTCCTCCACTTTCTCCAAGCGCTTTGCGTGCTTCTGTTCCGTCGTCTCGCGAATCTGGCGCTCCTGCGCACGTCTACCCAGCGCGATGCAGTCTTTGATCGCTTTGACCGCCTCGTCACCCAACGTGGGCATAGAGTTCAGACGCTGCTTGACGCGCCTCGACGTATCTTCTGCCGACTGCTTGCGCGCAGATGCCCCACCTGCCAGCGCAAGATCTTCGCTGTCCGAAGAGACATGGTGCTTTTGCGTCTCTGCAAAGTTGTACGGCTGGGTGTAGGTACCCGCACCTGATCACGCGGGAAGGGAATGGTGCGCGCCAGCCAAGTAAAGGGTCAGCGTGAGCGAAGAAGCGGTACAGAGCAACTCACCGAAGCTAAGACGACTAGACCTGACGGTCGGACCGCAACGCTTGCCCTGCATTAGCGGCAAGTCTTCATCACTGCTCTGTTGTGAGACGGAGGAGACGTGCAGGGAGGCAAGGTTCAGCATGTATGCGCTCAGAACGAGCGACTACGAGCTGCTCACCGATGACATGTTGCCAAGCTCAGAGCATGTTTGCCGGCCTGGGAACGTGGCGCGATGCTCCCGATTCTCCAAAGGGGCTGCGCACGTTAGAGATGCGCGATCCGCACAAGCTTTCCAGACGCGAGCTGCCGCGTCTCCCTGCAGCCCAAGAGACGAGGGTGTTGAAAGTTCGACTGATCGATTGCATAGGGTTCCAAGAGATTCTCTATTCCAAGCAATCGTGAATCAAAATGAAGTGATCAGTCGTGAGTGTTGGTGGTGAGGAGGAAGGTTGTCGCAGGCGTCAGGTGGAGCAACGCACCCACACAGTCTGGCACTCACCCACTCACTGATCGTGACTTTGCCTGTGCTGTGCTCCAAGGCGCAACGCAACGCAGCGCAACGCAACGCAACGCAACGCAACGCCTGTCCGCAGGCCCGGGCGTATGCGTACACGGCGCACCTTTTGCAGCAGCTATGCGCGCATGCATGAGGCCCAAACAGCGTGTCACGTGTCACGCACGGACTCCAAACGCTTGATCTGATTCACGATTCACGATTGACTGTGATGCGTCTATCCGACCGCGCTGCCCGACCGCGCCGCGCCGCTTTGCTTCTCTTCTCGTGAATCTCATCAACGACGCACGCCACGCTCCTCACGATCGATCTCCTCTGCTCGCACTCGTGACTGGAAAGGAAGCCTCACGCGACATGGCCTTTGCCCGCAAGTCGTGAGCGTGTCGCGCAGTGCAGTGCACCCGCCACCCATCGCGCTTCTCTGGCCTTGCTCATCCTTCGATCCAGCTCGGCTCCATCTTCAACATTCCATACACAATCACGTGAATCGCAGCAGCTGGCTTCTCACCATACCATGTCTCAGGCAGCAACTGAGCAGGTCGCTAGCGCTAGCGGAGGAGCGGTGCCAGCATGGCGCAACTTCAGCTTCTACGATGCCACCAAGCTCTCTGATGCGGAGGATCTGGCGCTGCCTCCTCGATCGCTGCGCAACGCCACGCGCATCGTCGCTCTCACCTCGTCCAGCGTTTGTCCACCGCTTCCTGCCTTGCAAGATGCTACTGCGACAGAGGGGCCGCACGAGGTACACAGCCACAGCCACAGCAATGCAAGCACGCCATCTTCCTCGTCGCATCCATCAGATGGCTGCATCATCTCTGCGCAAGTGGATGGAAGGGCTGAGGTGCTGCATGCGCGCACCTATGCTACCCTCGCCAGCTGGAACATGTTCCCGGGCGGCAGAGCAACGCACCTGTCTGTGGATGGCAAGGCAAGACTGATATGCATCGGAGAAGAGGCTGCTGCGCGCTTTCCTGTGCTGAGGATCTGGGATCTGAGACGAGTGCAGCAGGGCGCAGCGACGTGGGCTCCGCTGCTGCTCGCCTCTGCCAGAGTGCAGCATGGAAGCAAGCCTTTGCCTGTGAGTGTCCATGCAGTGGCGTGGCTGTGTGATTCGGTGCACAGAAGCAAGGCGCGACGCAGAGCAATTTGTCTGAATTTGTTGCCTTCTGCGCCCGACTCTCCCCCTCTCTCTCTCTCTCTCTCTCTCTCCTCTTGGCTTCATCGCAGGTGGCAGCCTTGGCGCACACGCCCAGCCTCACCTACCTCTCTGTAGCGCTTGCCGATGGTTCGGTCTTGCTGCTGCGCTCCGTCGATGCTTCTCTCAGCGGGCCCATCACCAGCAGCACTGTGACTGCAAACGCTGCTGCAAACAGCGGTGCATTGCGCGGGGACGGCTTGGCCGCGCCAGCATTCCAGCTGCCCAAGTTCAAAGTCGTCTTTCAGCCTTCGAAGTCGAGCGCAGCAAAGTCGGCAGACGCGGCCAATGCGGCATCCGCAGCAGAGATTGTCACTTCGCTAGGCTTTTCCGAAGTCGTGTCTGCCAGCAGACAAGATGAGGGCAAGGCGGCGGCGGCGACGGCTGCACCTGCTGCTACGACGCACATTGCCTCTCGTCAGCGCCTCAACGCTCGCGGCGAGCTGCCCAGATCGGCGATGCGCAAACAGCAAGGGCAGCGTCTGCAAAAGCCGTTGCCGTTGCCGTTGCAGAGCGCCAGCGCGGTGCACCTGCTTATCGTGACGCTTGAGCGCGTGCTGCGGTACAATGTCCTTGGACCATCCGCCGGCAACCCTGCTGCTGTGGTGGACGACGTTGGCTGTGGCTTGTCTTGCGGAGTCATGGTGCAAGGCCCTTTGCTCCCCGCATCCTCTGCCTCGACGGTGGATCAGCAATCTGCATTGCAGGGCAAGATGGTCATCGCGAGGCAGGAAGCCATCTACATTGTCGGTGCTGAAGGCAGAGAAGTTTGCTTGGCTTATGATGGTGAGTGCGAGATGGACATCAGACTGCGATGCTGTGAGCCAGCGAGCGTGTAGAGCTGAAATGTTGACGTTGACTGCACTTCGTCAGAGCCCAAGAGGTCCGTGCACCTCCTCAACACTCACCTCGTCATCGTCTCGCCGCCCGTGCCCGTGCCCGTGCCCGCTTCTGCACTCTCCGCGCAGGCTCGCAAGCCTACGTCTTCAGCAGATCCGGCCGCTGCTGCTAATCTTGGCCGACGCGCAAGTAGTGCACCGAAAGAGGTGGTCAATGTCACCATTTTCGATTTGGTGAACAAGCTGATCGCTTTCAAAAAGGCTTTTGACGGCGGTGTCAGGATGGCTTGGACAGATCCTACGGGCAATATCGCGGTGCTCAGCGACGATGGCACGGTGGGTGTATGCCGGTGTATGGTATGCGGCGAGAGGCGCTCAAGAGTCGGTGCTGACGAGCATCGCGTGCCCCTTCCCTCTCTCTCAGCTCACGAGACTGGAAGAGAAGGGCTTGCAGGCAAAGTTGGAGATGCTGTTCCGCAAAAGCTTGTACCTGCTTGCCATCAACGTGGCCAAGTCGCACCGCGCCAAGAGACCCGTGCTGGGCAATGACTCGCATCCAGCCGTTGTGCGCACCTCGGAAGGCCAGCCGGACGATCAATTGCTGGGCGAAATCTATCGGCGGTATGGCGATCATCTGTACGCCAAGGGCGACTATGATGGTGCGATGGCGCAATTCGTAAAGACCATCGGTCTGGGCACGCAACCGAGCTACATCATCCGACAGGTGAGTATGGCTGAATGTCCCATTACAAACAGCCACTCACCCCCTCATCGCCCTTCCATTCGCAGTTTCTGGACGCTCAGCGCATCGCTCATCTCACAACCTACCTACAAGAGCTGCACGCGCGAGGTCAGGCCAACTCGGATCACACGACGCTATTGTTGAACTGCTACACCAAACTCAAAGACGTCGCATCTCTCGACCGCTTCATCAAGCGACCCGTGACGCGCAAGCAACCTGGACAGGATGATACAGGCGACGATGTCTTTCACGAATCGGACGTGGATCAGGATCGCGATGAGCTGCCCTTCGACTTGGCTACGGCGATGCAGGTCTGTCGACAGGCCGGTTATCACGGCCACGCAGCATACTTGGCAAAGCGGTATCATCGGCACGAAGAGTACCTGCAGATCCAACTGGATGATGTGCAGGACTACGACGAGGCTTTGACCTACTTGCGCACGCTATCCCCGCAGGATCTGGAGATGCACCTTCAGCGCGTCGGAAAGAAGCTCTTGGCGAAGCGTACTACTGCGACGACCGATCTGCTCATAGAGCTGTGTTCCGGCGCGTTCTCACCCTCTCCTATAGCTATCGGCTCGGGCGTCGATGCGGCTCCTCAGGCACCATCCACGGCAGCTGCGTACCTTTCCTATTTGCAGATTGGCACTTATGCCAAACAGAGCACAGCGGACAATGTGAATGGAGCAGCAGCAAAAGCGGTGCCATCCTCCGACGCTCCGCCATACTCGATCGAAGGCGATGCGGGAGAGCAGCAAGCCAGCAGGGTGCCGGCATACCACACCCCATCTCCTCGCGTCTTTTTCGCTCAGTTCATCCGGCACTCTGCGCAATTCATTCGCTTCTTGGAGACGGTCGCGCTGGCCAGATGGGGGCAGAGTATCGATGAGAATGAGGTGGTGGTGGAGCATCGAGACGCACCCCTCAAGCCTGGCGTGCTTGCCATGATGGATGCGCCGGGACAAGACTTGACAAAGAGTCTGCGGCAGCTAGGCATGGAGCCTGGCGATGACAAGTACGAAGAGGAAGAGAGTGGCGATCAGCGAGCCATTTGGAACACTCTGTTGGAGCTGTACCTCGCCTCTGCGCGCGAGAGAAGTGGACGAGACGACAGCGGGCATGATGGTACGGCTGTCATGGAAGGATCGCCCGACGAGCGGCTCGATGCGACGCAGCGAAGAGCGAGATCGGACAGAGCGCTGAGGTTGTTGGAGCAGCACGAAGCGTTGCCCTACGACATCACCCACGCTCTGGTGGTGTGCACGACGGAAAATTTCGAGCGTGGATTGGTGCTGCTTTGGGAGAGGCTGGGCATGTATGAAGATGTGATGAAGCTTTGGATGGATGTGGGCAGTGCCGAGGCGCACGCGGCTGGCGGAACAAAGGCCGAAGCAGCAAAGGAAGCCAGTCATAGAGTCATGGCTTGCCTGCGACGGTATGGCGCTCTGCAACCGCACTTGTACCCCATCGTACTGCAGTACCTCGTATCGGATCAAAGCATCCTTGCGAATCATCAAAAGGACTTGTTGCAGGTCATTGCGCACATTGAGGAGGAGAACATCATGGGACCGTTGGAGGTTGTGCAGGCCCTCGGACGGACAAGGGTGGCTACCGTTGGACTGCTTCGCGATTATCTCAGTCGAACGGTTGAGCAGGAACGTCAGGAGATCGAGGCTGTGAGTGCAGGAGGTGCAGCTACCGGTCATGGCGTCGCTTACGAATCCTTTTTTTTTCCCTGCCCATCTTGTGTAGGACCAGAACCTGATTACGACGTACCGAGGCGAGACGTCGAAAAAGCTGCAGGAAGTGTCGGAGCTGACGGATGCGAACCATCCGCGAGTGTTCCAGATGACGAAATGCACGGCTTGTGGAGGTCAGCTGGAAGTGCCCTCTGTGCACTTTATGTGCAGACACTCTTTCCATCACAGGTGTTTGGGCGATGGAGAGAATGAGTGTCCAGCTTGTGCTAGGGCGCACGCGACGGTGAGGGAGATCAGAGCAAACAATGAAGAGATTGGGTCTAGGCACGATCTGTGAGTGCAGTGCGACTTCGATGAGCGAGGTGCTGGAGCATCAAGACGCATGACGAGAGCTCATCAACGTCCGACCCTGCCTCGCCGTTGCTGCCAACAGCTTCTTGCAGCAAGTACAGAATGCAGACGATGGCTTCGATGCCATTGCCAACATGTTCTCCAAGGGATTGTTTGGCGCAAATAGGCTGATATGAGTCTTGTGCAGTAATTGTACATGCTAGATACCCTACCATCGTCTGCTGGCATTGCACTCGCATTCACATCTCATCGTCTGCTGGCATTGCACTCGCATTCACATCTCGACGAAAGTGAATCGAATCGGCATTGCTTCGACGACATCACGACCCCTCCGAACGATGCCCTGTCAGCGACGCTGCGATACAATTTCAATAACATGGCAGAAGTCATTGCGGAGGCCAGATGATGCGCTCGGTAGAAGCACTTGGTCTATGGGCGCATCGGCACGATGGTGAATTGTTCGATGGGCGCTTCCAGACGCTTGTTGAGCTCCATGACGCAGGCCTGCGTGTGGTCCACCTGCTTCTCGGGCCAACGCCTGTGCGAAATGCACGTCAGAGGCGTGGGAGAGAACAGAAGGAGAAGGATGAGGACAAGTGTTCTCTGAGACACGATGGATTTGGCCTTGAAACTCACTCCCAAGCGTAGCAGTAAAGCGCCAAGACGCCTTTGTAGTAGTCCAGTTGGCTGAACCCGCTCGCTCCGTACAGCTGCGTGCAAGTAGCATGCAAGAGACCCCTGGCACTGTCTGGGGTGATGCCTTTCAACGGCTTGTCGAATTCTAGGCGGAACGATTCGCGGATAAGTCAGCTTTATCAGCGGCGCTGTGCAGCAAGCACCCGACTCTCACTCCATATGCCCGACTTGGGCACGTCGAAGCTGACTACCTGAATCACCAGCATGGCGATCACGGCGAATCTTGTCATCGAGTACGAAAAGCAGAACATTTCGGATAGAGGACTTTGACAGAGTAGGCGGCAGCGGGTTTTGGAAGAGCCAGGAGGAAAGAGCAGATGGCGAGAAGGACAAAGCAGATCACAAGCGCAATCGGACATTTATATCCATTTGCGGCCATCGGATCGTTGCGGCGGCAGCTTCGGCTCCTTCTTTCCGTAAATTTTGGCAACGAGGCTCCGACACTTCCGAGCGTGGAGGACGAAAAGGAACGGCATCAGCGGGAGCCCCGTGAGTTCCGTGAGGTGAGGAGGAGGCTCCGACACTTCCGAGCGTGGAGGACGAAAAGGAACGGCATCAGCGGGAGCCCCGTGAGTTCCGTGAGGTGAGGAGGAGTGTTTGGGAAGCGAGTAGGTCAACCACGACTGCTCCGCCGGCTCTCACGTTCCGACTTTAGTCCGTTTTGCAATGCCACCGCGAAAAACAATACGAGGCTACGCGTAGTGCGCATTGATTACCGTGCCAGCACATCACTTCGCGCAGAGGCAGTCGCAGACTGATCATTTGGGTAGCAGCACGCACGCTTCGACGACGCCCTGGACTTTATGGGACACTTGTTGTTCGTCTTCAAAACAGGGCTCTGCGCTACATCGATGGCGCCACTGACACCGAAGCTCAGTTGGATTTTGCTTCAGCTTTCGAAGTCACAGAGCTGGGTGGGACGGTGCCGTCCCAAAACAGGCATGTCGGGCTCTGTCACGCGCGCAGAGATGCACATAGGAGCGCAAGCGGGGTGGGAAGCGTTGGGATCGAGAGGTGTGGCGCAATGTCGGCCGTTCAATCCGGCGACAGCACCCGACTAGGGTTATGACGGACGGGACTAGGTGGTGGCTCTGCCATTTTACGCGGCGGCAGTACGCTTAGTCTTGCTGCGAGACGGGGATGGACGACGAGGGAGCAGAGAATCGTTTGTCAACATCGCTGACCAATCGACCCGCCGGACGTCTGACAACACTCACAGCTCCCAGCAAAACCTTTCGCCGAACTCACCTTGATGTTGCTCTACTCGCACGTGTACCAGCGACGACGGACGCGAAGTTTACTCAAGTCGAGGTAGCCATGACAACCTACTCTGCCTTTGTATCTGTGGTACAGCACTCCGTCGCTGGGATGGATGTCGCGAGTCAACTCAGGCGCAAGATTCTTCCTGTACCCAGACGGTGACTTTGGAAAGTGATCTACTGCTTCCGTGTACGATTTGTACGTTCTCATGCAGTCCACGCAAAGCCACATCTCGTTCGCCAGGGCCGGGATGTCGGCGTAGTCGAAGGCTACGTAGCCCCATCGGGCTGTCGTTTGCTCCTTCTGCTTCTCTTCCAGCTCCTTCACGCGAGCTTCGAGGGCTCGGACAGTCTGGTAGGACAAGGCCACGTTCTCCGGCAGGCCTAAAGACGGTACATCTCTCGTCAAAGTCGTGTTGTACGTCACAGATTTCCGTCGACTGGCGAGTCACTCACACGTCGGTTCCGCAGCTTTTGCTAAGACCTTCTTACTGCTTCTTCCGTCGGAGGCGTCGCTGAGGCCGAGATTGTTCCTAGTGGGCGCCATGGCGAAGCGAAGCCGTGACTCTTGGGGCGAGAAAGGCGTGACTTACTTCACTTGACGACGGTACGTCTCGGTCAGTCAGGTGAGCTGCAGGCGTGATGGAAGGTGTCAAGGAGGACCGGTTTCCAACAGTCGGGGCGGATGCGCCATTTGATGATGTTGACCGCGCCTCGCACACATCGCTGTACGCAAATGGCAAGGTTAATCACGACGTTGAGTTACAACAAATCTCACTCGTAGCCGCGTTCTCGAAGTCTCGATCTGGCCCTCCACCGCACTCGACTTCATCAACACTCAGAGGCAATCTCAACTGCAACTGGTCTGGGAATCAATATCGGTCGCTTTCAAAGCAAAATGCAGCACACGCGCTTCTGAGAACCCACAAGCAGATGATGAAGCATCAAGAGCGAGACCTCGATGATTAGGTACAGCGACCGTGTAGGTTGGCACTTTCTTTCAGAAACTCAATCAACTGAAGACCATCCCCAAATTATATTCGCTCCTCAATTTGATTGCTAGGGAACAGAGAAAGAGTGACAAACTCAAATCAAATCAGAGTCAGTCTAGCGATGGGTGCTGCATCACTCTCAAAGAGCAGTCGCAAGCGTGGTCGAGCGTACCTAGAGTTTTGTTTCAGAAAGGGGCGCACAGCACTAGGTCATCGCGCCATTCTTTGCCAGATTCCCGAGGACACGCGATTGGCCGAGATTGCCGACGGTCGCATCCTGCGAATCTCGATTGAAATCTAGCCTAAGCACTTGTACAACTAAGGGACAGGTCATCAAGTTCTTCACTGATTCACATTGGGTTATACGTCGGGTCAAATCATTTACTTTTCGACTCATGATCATCAATCTAGCCACCGAACCTCGGCCGCCAAGACTCTGGCACCTAACTAGCCAGCGTGCTCGCCATCACAGCTCGCCATCACAAGACGCACAACATGAGATGCGCATCGCGCTTGGTTGACATTTTCAGAGATCGCAGATTGATCCTACGGCAGGTTCTGCTCTGACAAGGGATGATTGACGGGACGAACGGAGGGAGCGCACGATTGGCCATCATCTGATTTGGCCAAGGATACTTCAAAGGGCCTCGGAGAAAGGTGCCGCACTCAGTAGTCGAAGACGATTTGGCGATGCAGGTGCAGGTGCAGAGAGCCTCGGTAGGCCCAACATGTTGTGTACGCGATGTCCTTTTGATTTCGTGCCGCAGCACGGCTATTCACGGTCGCGTTCGATGGTCAGCTTGAGTTGGCTGGGTAAGAATGCCTCACCCTAAGTTGGCTGGCTTAGAGCGATGGGCTCTCGGGTTAGTAGGCGTCTCCTGCGGTAGAACTTAGCTGCCCGTGCACTTACAGATTTGGCGGCTAATACGTAGGTGTACCATGGACGGCGCACTCGAAGCTTGGTGATGTCGAAGAGAATCGGACATCCGATTCTGTCCAGCATTTGGGTAGCGCTGCTTGCCGGGTCCCCATCGGCCAGGTGATCCTCCTTCAAGCCATCACACAAATACTTCTTCGTACGTCGCGTAGAGAAGTGGCGAGCAGCCTCTGCGAAGGACGGATAGGTCCTCATGCATTCGGTGCAGAGCCAAGTGTGGTTTGCCAGCTTGGGAATATCCTCGTACTCGAACTTTACATAGCCCCATCGGACCTTCTTTGCTGCCTCTTGTTCTTCTTGCAGACGCTTCAGCTTTTCGGTCGCGCCTTGAACAACCTGATAGGACAGCTTCAATGAGTCTGGAGCATTGCAAAGTAAGAAAAGGGTGCCTTCGTAGCAACTCGTTTTTCTCCTAATGCGCACTCCACCCCCCATGGGTTGAGCGATGGACTCACCACTCATTTGAGGAGCAGGGGCTTTTGCTGCTTGTTTCTTCTTGTCCACCATTGCTGGCAAGAGTGGTTGGAAACGTGGCCTTGGATTGAGAATGGGGTGAACATCTGAAGCGATGTACACCGAAGGGTGCTTGAGAAAGCGAGCAGCGCTAAAGAGGCTCTATTGGGACAGCAACGCGACAGCTCCTTGCCCTTCTCGAAGTTCTGTCACACAATCTTATTTATAGGAAGGGAACACAGGTCGACTAGCTTCAGTTTCAGTATCTTGGACAGGCCAGCCCTTTGCTCCAACCCCCGGCCCGCCCACAAAACGATTAGATGTCGCGACGCAAACAAATGGTGCAGCGGTCATCAATAGCCGCGCAATTCTCCGCTCGGCAAGACATGTCTATATGGTGCTCGTGCATTCGCGCAGTCAAGACACGTCGGGATTCTATTCCTCACTCAGGCGGTCGCGCTCAGCAGACTCACCTCCAAGACACGTAGTCAGGGCCCGCTGAGAGACAAATTCATTCAAGTCGTGCCGTGATCGACATCAGGCAGACGCGCGTCGCATCGTACTCGTACGATTTTTGCCGTTCTAACTCAGGTTGAGGCACTTTGAAAGACGTTCTTGAGGTTGTGCGCTGGCAATCCTCGCTCTGAGACAGTGTGGCACCGGGCAAGGCCTCGGTCACAATAGGAGATTGCCGGTGCCCGGGCCGAAGTTGCTGCGCTAATCAACAAGGCTGGCTCAATTTCTGCGTCTCGTCCTACTCCCTCTCTTCGAGTTCATCACACCTCATGCAGCGCGCGTCTGCTTGTCGTGAAGAGGTCAACGTCAATCATCAGCGAGACAAGCTCGAGACAACAAGCTGCAGCGCGCCGCTGTTTCGAAGCCTGTCTATCCCCCAGCATTGGGCTCCAGAGCCGCTTCGCAAATCTCAATGTGGCATCGTCAAGAACGGTGCTCTCGCTAGACGATAATTACCAGGCCCCAGCCAGCCCTCGGGACCACGGTGGGACAAAGCAGTGCGCCGCACAGCCTGCAGCGAGCCACGCTTTCACGGCGGGCGACTCGTTATTCAGAAGACGCGCACTCGTAGAGGCTCGATGCTTTAACAAGTGAGCAAGAAGACAGAAATGTTGTGTTGTAATTGGACGTCGCGATCAAGAAAGTGCAACTTCGGTCATGCGGAGGGTGCAGAGGAGGGGCGTCATACACGCCGCTTAGAAGTGACGTCTTGAAACTTCTGCTGTTGGTGAGACAGGCCTGTTCTTGTCGTAGCTCGCAAACACATCTGGACTCGATTCGGCAAATATCGAAGCTGTTGTTTGAGATTGAAGCTGGCGAGTCAGCGCTGCGCTCCATTCGCAAATTTCTGGCCACATGTCGAGGTCGCCATTTGGGGCTCACCGCAAGCGTAAAGACTTACTGTGCTGCTGGTCTCTCCGCAGCAGCTTGTCCCTCTTCTTTCGCGGGGATAAAACTAGAAGAGCTTACGGTAGTAACGACCACGAACACGAAGTTTACTCATGTCCAGCGCTCCCCGACAGTCGACCCTCACGAAGTTGTGGTAGGCCTCTGTTCTGCCAAGTAAGGCATCCATGTCCAACATTGATTGGAGCTTTGGTTGCCCCTTGTCTTTTGAAAAGTGCTGAATCGCTTCCGCGTAGGATGGAAACATGCGCAAGCATTCGGCGCAAAGCCATGTCTCGTTGGCTAGACGCGGGATGTCTACGTACTTGAAGGGAACCCATCCCCAGTGCGCATCCTGTTCGAGTTTTTTCTTTTCCTCTTCCTCTTCTTCGCGCCTCTTACGGGCCTGAATCTCCTTTTGAAGCTGTACTTCTAGGCTCTTGACTTTGCTTTGCCACCCTTCGACGATCTGGCATGTCAATGATAGCTTACTTCCAGGCACTGGAGGAGGAAATCAGTGCTCAGTGTCTGACAGTCGCGAGCTTGGTCTCGCTCTGGAAGGATGTAATGTCGCTCAAGAATACTCACCAACCGATTTGTCACCGACCTGCACTCCGCCATGCTCTGCATGGCTTGACAACGTGTTGGAAGCCTCCATCTCTGCGTTTGCCAGAGAGTGAGTACGGTCGAAGGCTATACTTTCAGATAACCGTTAAAGAAGTCGTGTCCAAGACGCTGCTGCGGTCCGTGGGTGAAGAGTTGTGCGCTTGTATTGCACAGTGGAGCGATTCTTATAGCGTACGCGGATTTTCTGGAATCGACCGAATAGCAGCCTTCAACCTTGCTCGGCAGGAAAAGTTCCACGTAGCAAGATGATGCATCGGCGCAGGAGCGCTCCAGAGACATTTTGTCTAGCACTTCGGGCGCTCACAATGCACTCGATCACGACAATTCTCACCAAGCATCTGCTTGCTCGGATCTATATGTTTCAGGTTGGGTGTCAAATCTCACTCGCCTCTGTGTCCCTTGCTACTTGCCACAAACATACTGCACATTTTCAGTGTCCATGTGATCTGTCCCGTAGAGGCTGGAGCTGAAGCGCGGCAAAGCGAGAGCTGTAGCTGCTCGAGCTAGAGGACGAAAGGATACTCACATGAGATGAGACATGCTGATTGAACAGCTGATTCAATTTTTTAAAATTAAGCGTGCAGACATGATTCGTATGATCTCAATCAAGCAGGCTCGTGTGCAGCCATGTGTGAAGGGGAGGAGAGTCACACGTGAGGGCAAGAGGAGAAGCTGATCGGCCACGGGCTAGGTCCCCTTGCCAGACCTACTTTCGCGGGAGCCCTCTCGACAACATCATCACTCTACACCGCCTCGATGGTCCAGTCCTCCTTTCCAGTTGAACTTTAGTGTTGAGGTAGGTGACAGTGTCTTCAGTCTTGTCGGAGCCTTCCAGAGCCCCTCTACAGCGGATAAAGGGCAAATGTGGTCTCGTCAGTTTCGCAAGGAGGAAGGGTGCACACCGAAGAGAAGGAACTGCATTGTAAAGCGTATGTGTGTTCAACTAACGGCGCATGGCAGTACAAACCGTAGGATCTTCGGTCTTCTAGCCAGCCAAAGTCCGACCTGACACCTTGACCAATATGGTCCCTGCAAGCTTTGTTCCAAGTCGTCTCAGCTTCGAGCTCGCCCATGTCGCTCAGACGATTGGTCAGCTCTGCTCGTGCCGGTGCACCAAGGTCAGCAAGAATCTTGGACATCTTCATGCTCGCGACTGTAGGGAGGTTTTACCCCAAAGACCATAGCCTGGCATGACGAAGTCGCTCACCGCCAGCGCCACGAGGGCCAAGGTGTGAAATTGGTATTGTCTTGCAGTGCACTTTAGTATTTTCTTCATCGATACTTCAGGCCCGCGGTGTCGTGATTACAATAGCACGAACCCTCGATCCATGATTCGTAGCTTGCCGAGCCGCCAGTCTGATCGATGGGTATTTACCAGCACTGCTCAGCGCCGTGAATCCCGTCCAGAGTCACCGCGGAAATCCACCCGCTTAGAATGCACCCTATCGATGCCTGTCCGAAGCCCCGGGCATGTTTTGCTTACCATCAACATCTCTTTGTCGGATTGCAGGAGTGGTAAGGCTGTCTGCGCCCGGCGCTCTAATTGCAAACGAGACCTACAGCGTCGCGCGTTTTCCATCTATCTTTTCCTGGCAGATCAAGATGCAGCTTGCGATTGAAGCAAAAGAGTCAAGCGTGGGAAGAGTAGGGATGCGGCCATTACCGATAGAGAGAAAGGTTGCTCATACTCTCTTGTTGTTTCTTACCACCACATCTGTCTTCGCTGCCGAGACTAGCCGATGCACGGATGCTGGATGCGAGCTCGAGGGAGAGTCCGCTCTTCATTTGAACGCTCACGTAGGACTGCTTCTTTCGCTGGCCGTTTGCAAGACAGCATGCGATGCACGTGCAGGGACCTTGTTTACCATGGCTTTTTCTGCGCCAAGAAAAGGATCAGGTCCGTTTTGCGGAGTTTGTCAACACGATACAAGCACAGCCACCAATTTGAGAAGAGGCAGTCCAGCTCAGGCAGGCAGGACCCATTGAGGCAAGGTGATTCATACGACGGCAACGACACGTCTCAAATCCGCTCTGTCGATGCGCATCGAAGCTTGTACGAGCCTCTGCAGTGAGCCGATACACAGGCCGACGTATCGTGTAGCAAGTCATGGGTGCCATGACACGAATGTACAATGGAGCATTCGGGGTGCACTATACATCTGGCAGCAAGTCGACCTTCAGGCATTGCCTCGCTGGACCCCGACGTCGTCTGCTGGCTCGCTTTTTTATAGCGGGAGTTCCTCGATTTGCCAATTGGCCTTCTCTTTGGGGAGAACGTTGAAGTTGACATAGTCGATATTTTCCGAAGTCTTGTCGGAACCGGCATAATCTCCGCTGTGAGAGCGACAGAGGAGGCGTCGGTTTGGGTACACGAGCAAAAAGGGAAGGAGAAAAATCAGGTGGGCAACTCACGCTTGATGACAGTACAAGGCGTAGTATTTGGATGTTTCGAACCAGGCAAAATCAGCTCTGGCATTCTTGCCCCACTTTTCTGTGCAGCCCCGGACCCAGTAATCGTGCGCTTCCGTCTCGTCGAGCGTAATTCTGTTTTTAAGCTCTAGGCAGATGCACAAGAGGCTCGGCGGGTGTCAGCGAGCAACCGACATGTAGACTCTGTAATGTGCTGACCCGATCCATGACTCACTCCAAAGCCCGTAGCCAGGCTGGACCCAGGCAGAGGTGCTCGCCATCAAGACGGTCACGAGGGATATGCAGGTGAGTAGTTTGAGCATGTTGCTGATGAACAGATAGGCTACGTGCGAGGACAGAGGTAGAAGGCTTCGACGAAAACACCTTGGTGGAAGCAGATGGCGAGGAGTGTACTATGCTCGATCTTGGAGAGCACGGGGTCGATTGAACAGATGTAGACGTGATTTATAGGAATTCGCACATATTCACGGTTTCACCTTTGCCACCGAGCAAATTCTTGGCGGTGAGACGATGGACAAAGTTTGGCTGCGTATACAAGCGCCGCAGAGGTTGCTTGACGCCAGAGTGCCAAGTGAAATGTCTGCATAAGGCTGCACCAATCATTCACGAAGTCGAGTTCTACCCACGAACGGATTTTGGTCAGCTCTCGGACGACACATCTATGACTCCCATCTCGTCAAAGCGTTCTTCATGGCATTGATTGCCCTCAGCTTTTGGAACTGTACACCGAAATGAGGCACGTTGAGAACTGTTGGATGCCCAGTGAGCGGTTGCTGAAACTTGGTCGCGGACTCTCTTTACGCTTCGAGGTCGCCTGAAGGCATCAATGGCGGAGTCTCTTCTCCCGAGTATGATTGCTGCGTTCCCAGTCAATCGAAATGCGTCTACGTTCGGCTGCACATACGTTTAGCTGCACGACTCTGGAACGGTCGAAAAAGGGTGTTTGTGGGTGAGCTTTCTCTACCTTTCCAGCTTCTTGACAGTACGACTGCCAAAGTCGTGCGGATACACACGTCAGTCGAGTCGGCGACGGATTGGAAAGCTACTTTGTCCTGGTTCAGGCTGCGCTCCACCTCTTTGACCCCCACATTGTCCCAGTCACAACTTTTGGGATTGTGAGCTACACCGCCGTAGATGTGCTTGATCACCTCTTTTGCGCTCCAATAAATGGTGCTGCAGCCAAAGCATATCCACTCCGAAAACTGGTAGTCGTATGCCTCGTGCACCTCAATTTTGACGAATTTGTCTCGAGAGCACACTGCCTCTCTACGCACTTGCTTGCGAAAGTTGACCGATCGAAGTACTTCCTGCGTTAGTGATGGCGGCTCGAGAATGGCACAAGTGCAAGTCTGTGCGTGCACTATTGGAACAGCAAATCAGATGTGAGTGTCCTGGTCCCATCGACAGACCGACGCGTAACGTACCTTTAGCTACTTGTGCGCTTTGAGTGTCATGATGCGACTCGGAAAGACGTGCGGTTGTCATAGTGCTAAATTTTTGCTCGCTTCGTCACTTTGGATAGTCGTCTGTCGGTTCTGAACGGATGGCGGCGTGAGAGACTGCGTTCGCATGGACATTTATAGTCCCCGTTCCACAAACGCGTGTGCTTAGAAGTTCGTGCACGTCGCACCCCTGCCTTCATCAAGCTCTGCAATCTCGCGCCTCCAAGCAGAGATACAGCACTTGCAGGGCACACGACGCACTCTTCTTGTGCATGAGCCCTTCGACAAGATGCAGGACACCTACATCCACGCGATGTCGTTTGATGATCCTGCAAGTCAGTCAAGAGCATGTTCGGATTGCGCGCAGGCGTGATGATCTTGGCGATGAGCAGCACGTGGCGTGTAGGAAGAGCAGCAAGAAGTCGGTTAACCATTCGTGTTCATATACGCATCACCTTGAGGGCGCCACAATGTGTTGATGAGGATGTGCAGGAGCCTGTTTTCGCCTTTCGGTGCCGAGTAAGGACGATGGCCAAGCTTGGCTGGCAAGCTGAATGTCATATGGTCTCTGCACGTTCGGCAGCTGCCGACCGCAGCAATCAATCGACCGCAGCAATCAATAACAGACTCACGCCTGATTTGGTCTGTCATGCAGCGTCGGTGATGGTGGTTGATTCAAGATTGTTCGCATCAATCGTGAATAGTGCGTGACGAGCGATGCTTTCCTTGCATGCGCATGCGTAGGAGGCGGGCGTGTGGGCGCGTGGGCGCGTCACGGACATGGTCTTCATGCACATGCTCGACCCTGGGCTGCGCTGCATGCATGCAGCCAGCCCGCGGCCTCGACTCTCACTCACGACTGGATCATACTGAGACAGCCGCGGGGATGCTGCCTCTATACAAGTCGATTGTGGCTGCATCCAATCACAATCACCAAACACGAGTTGGATTCGAATACGAATCAATTTTGAATGAATGTATACCGCGCGCTTGACTCTGTGACTCTGACTCGTGACTCGTGACTCGTGACTGCATGCATGCGTATGATGCTGAATCGAGAATCACGTGAATCTGTGAGGCACGACGCGCGCGCGCGCCCACCTGCATGCATGCAGCACTCATGAATCACAAATGCGCGCGAATGCATCTTATACCGCCATAGATGATCATTTGACTCGAGAATAGCATATTGATCACCCGACAAAAGGTGTGCAGCGTTCATCTCGTGTAGTCGAGAGTCTTCTTGGTCAAGCCGCACATGACCAACAGTCGTCAGTACTCTGTGCTCGCATGCTCAATCACGTGAAGGAAGCTCTGCAGGCTCCCACGACGAGCGAAGAGCGCGTTCTCAATTTTTGAGCTCTGCCGCAAGAGTGGCACACTAGCAATTGTGAATCACATGCTCGATTCATCTCCTCTCATACCGCTCAGGCTCGTAGCAGCTACTTGGCAAACCTGCGGATATACGTCTGCCTGCACACATCAAACCTCCGTCTTGTCCTTGACAGACGACTCGACCGCGCATTTGCACACCAGCACAAAGTGAACAATTTCGAAGTCGAATCTGATCTGCTCAGCAAGACCCTCTACCGACATCATGTCCCTTGCATCCAACGACGATCAACAAAAGGTCAAGATGACTTTTCAAGGTCACGATTGGCGCTCTACGATGGACCTCTCCTCCGACGAAGCTCTAGCGGTATGGAATTTCATACACAATCGGACGCGCTTGATGGGCTCAGCAGCTCCGACAAGCAGCTCGAGTCCTGGAATATTGGTGAGGTGTGACGAGACGTGTTTTGCGGAGCGAGAGATCGAATCTGAAGCGATGCTGCATTTCAGGCTATCGAAGCTGGCCCATGCCCTTCCGGGCCTCTTCCAGCACATCCGGGACCTGCACGCCCAGCATTCACCAGCACCGCTTCCACCCTGCCGCACGCTTCGAAAGCCTGTCCGATTAGTGATGCGCACCCCAAGCCCAAGCCTTTGAAGAGGACGGTTCCAAGCCACTCGCGCATGACCAAGAAACAAAAAAAGGCACAGAAGTTGAGCGCTCAGTCTCAGCCAGGTGAGTAGCAAGGAGGTGACAGCGTGGATCGGTGATGAAAGACTGCTGAGCTTGAGCGAGGCAAACAACTCACTAGCGGCCACTGCATTGGGTTTTCTTTTCCCTCCTTGCAAGACACTCTGGCAAGGCCGTCTTCCGGAACACTCTGCTTGATGTCTTTGGTGGGACGTAGCTATTTCCGATGCAGCTTCTTGCAAAAGTACAAACGAAGGCGCTTGGCAATGGACACGTTCGGGTTGAGCGATCAGACAGTCTGAACAATAGCAAAGTCGTGTTCAAAGCGCACGGCGGACTATAGGAACAAGTAGACCAAGGAGCTTTCAAACTGCGAGGTTAGATTCTCTTTTCAACTGTTGATATGTACACCAACATTCCTCGTCGTGCCGCCACTAAACCATTCTCGCTGCTTCTGACACGGCATAGACAGCATCTCAATCCTTTGATCCCAACAGCGAGCGTGGTGGAGTGTGTCTCTTTTGTCCTCACTCATTGCCAGCCAGCGTTGAACACCTTGTTTTGTCGATCAAATGCTTCTCGGCTGGATCACAATCTTCTCAGCGCCTTTGGCGTCCATGTATTCATCGTTGAAGAAAGTCGCGCAAGCCTGCGTGTTGTCCGCGTTTGAGTAATCTTTGCCTGTCTTGGGACTTTCAACAACGCCAGCGTATCAGCGACCAAAGCCGGTTCACCAAATGCAAGCTCGACGGTCTTCCTGCTAGCGCAACTCACCCACGGTGGCAATACAAAGCCAGTGTGTCTTTGTACCAGCCGAAATCCATCACCTGCTCAGGGCCGAACTGTTTCTGGCTGCAAGAAGCGATCCACCATTGTTTCAGATCATCCATAGAAAATCCGGCAGTCGTGGTCTGGGTGGAATCCTCCGAAAGCGCTTTTTGGGTCGCAATGACTCTCGAGCTCATCAGTAAATGTCGTAAGTGACGATGGCGAACAAAGGTTGCTTCGGGCTGTAATCTGATTACGCTAGACTCACCCCAAAGAGCGTAGCCGGGCGCAGTGAAGTTTGGCTCTGGAAGAAGGGACACGTGTCTCGCGATAGCGGGCATGACAAGAAAAATGCAATGGGCAAGCTTGACCATTTGATTTGCTAACGCAAGGCGAGATTCGGAGCGAGGAGCGAGATGCTCGGCGAGGAACAACTTGATGGGGTCGTGTGGGGACACTTGGATGTTGCGTTTCCAGCTTTTAAGGGAAAGGCTTTTCTTATTCTTGCGCAGCAATGCATCCAGGATAATCTTTCCGGGCGGTCAACGCAGGGCACCGCGTTTCTGCGCAGTCTTTGTTTCAAGCTCCGTCTTCATTGATGTTGAGCGCGCCGTCCCCTTCTCTGCATGAGGCACCTGAACGGTCTGAATAGCGCACAGGCCTCCAATCTTTGCGTGTATATAATGAGTCTTTTCCAGTTCCTTCAGTTGAAGCCCCACTCGACAGAAGCAGACAAACAACAAGGAGCTTTGAGATGGGCATGAGAGGAACCACACCCTCTTGCAGGGGGAATTTGATGCCTGTTGGGCAGAAGCAAAGCAGACCTGCGGCAAGGAGCTTCAAGATGGTTGTGAGAGGAACCAACTCCTCTTGCAGCAAATATTCAACACTGTGTGGGCAGAGGCTAAGCAGAAGTGCGACACAGAGCTTGAGGCTGGTCAGGAGAGGAACCAAACTCTCTTGCAACAAGAGCTCAATGTTGGTTGCGCAAACAGTCAAGAGCACCTGAAAGAGGAGGTGCAATGAGCATTGCACCAAGATTCAGAGGCGCATGCCTGAGGTTCAGCAGTCGCGATGCTCCGCCCAACCTCACCCCTACTCCTCCTCCTCCTCCTCCTCCTCCTCCTCATCATCATCATCGTCATTGTCATTGTCATTGTCATCCTCCTCCTCAGCATTGTTGTCATCTTGGCCCTTGAGCAGGCGGTCAGAAGGTTGGACATCCAAAGCAGAGATGATGGTCAGTCAGAGAGACCTCGAGAATGCTTTGTCAACAAGACTCGCAGTTTCCATCAGGTCCTGAGCAACCTTTTCAATCTCCTGTTGCAGGCCAGCCTCCTTGCAGAGCTCTTCCTCCTTGAGCTAATTGAAGAGCTCCTTGCGCTGTGTAGCGTTCACAACTGGTGGGTGGGGGTCGGAGGTGGCAGCCGCCTGCTTGGGAACATTTTCGCGCCGTGGTTGAAGAAGGAAGAAGGAAGAAGGAAGAAGGAAGCAAAGAGTCGCATCAGAGTTTGAAGAAGTGTATCAGAGTTTGCTCAAGTCTATCGCGAACGCGCCCGTCTGCATCAAATGATAGTCTCGAGCTACAAGGCAGAGCTGAAGTGCAACCACCGCCGTCCCTGACTATCGGACTAGCTCTACGTTTGATTCCAGCTCGACAACACTCGTGACTCACTTGGGCGCAAGCCTCTTTGCGGCGACAAACAATGGGCTCCGCAAAACGGAGCATGATTGGGTGTGCTGGTTTGGTTTGCATGGTGGCGATTTTGGGGATGGTGTTGTTTTTTAACGAAGGGCAGAAGAAGCAGCGTGATTGAAGAGCCTGAATTCACAACAGAATATCCCTGACAAATGTCAATCTGCGCAAAACAAACTCGAGGGAATCAGATCCCAGATTGAGGATACAATGGAAGGGGCAAGTTGTGTCATCATCAACACCAACATGGCACCGGCTGATCAAGACACAGGAGACAGACAAGGAGAAGACAATGCTGATGCCCAGTCAGAGGTTTCCAAAACAGTGCACCAGGAAGAAGCAAAGCTTGGATCAGTCTGCAGTGATGGGCCCAAGTCTCCTCTTCACCTTCCTCGCACTCTTGAGAGCTTTTGGAAGAACTTTGAAGCACTCAACAAGGAAGCAAAGGAAAGCAAGCTATTCCAAGACCGTTCAAAGGCATCCGTGCCAAGCAGCTGCCTTGCCATGCCCCAGAAGGATCGGGTTCCAAGCAGCTGCCTTGTTAGACACCGGAAGGATTGGGTTCCAACATCAATCTGGATGAGGTAGACCGTGTCCTCAAAAGTATCTGTGCCAAGCAACTGCCTTGCCGCACATCCAAAGGATCGAGTTCCAACATCGATCTAGATGACTTAAGGCGCGTCCTTCAAGGGCATTGTGCGCTGGTTCGGGCTGCCAGCCCCGACCTTGGATTGCTCGCTGACTTGCGTCTTGAAGTGCCCTCGCAGACACTCCACTTGGGCCTGCTCAAAGCATATTAGCCCAAAGAAGACAGCGCAGGTACATCAGTTCAGCTGGCCCTCATCTGCAACTTTGAGCCCTCATCTGCAACATTTCAGCAGTAGAGACTGGGTTTTGCTACACCATCAGAGATATGGCTTCTTATCAGAGTGCTGAGCAATGAGTCACTGAGAGCAAGCGCGCAAAGCAAAGACAGCGTGACTTTGAGCATCTTCAGGGTAACAACAAAAGGACGCAAGCGGACCTCAAAGCAACGCTTACGGGGCGCTATCTGACTCCAGCTCAGAACACCAGCCTTGCCTCTGCCAACGCTGCGGCCCTCAAAGCAACGCAGAAGGCAGCCACTAGTCGCGGTCGCAAGGAGTCCCGTCAGGCGCTGGAAGAGCTACAAGCTTGCAAACGTGCAGTGAGCACAAAAGAAGCGGCCATTGAGGCAAAAGACAGCGCTGTAAGGGCATGGGAAGAACAGTTGGTGAGGCTTGGAGACCAGGCAGATGTGAGCAGTGCCAGCCTTGAAGCCACGGCGCGATACCGTCAAGTTTGATTGGAGGCAGTAGAGCAGCGCGACACCGGCTTGCGTCTTAGAGAAGGGCGCCTCAACCGCCACTTTGCTGTTCGTGAGACGTGTTGAGCGCACGGTCTCTTTCTCTGCATGAGGCACCTGAATGGTCTGAGTTGCGCATGGGCCTCTATTCTTTGCATGTATATAAGTCTCTTCCAGTTCCTTCAGTCAAGCCCCCACTCAACAAAAAATTGATCTCTTCCCACAACAATTGAGCGCAGGGAAATTCTGCCACTTGTGGTATATGTACGCGTGCGTGTGTGGCGTTTGAATGTACGCGTGCGTGTGTGCGGCACATGACAGTGTACCCCAAGCAGAATGCGGTACGACAGACGTACCCTGTCGAAGGTCTAACTTGCGCTGAGGGTAGATCGTCGCTCGTTGTGGTGTTCGCGGTCTGCGTGACTGACTTCGCTGCCTTCCGTGCAGCTGGTGTGCATGTGAATTGCGCAGTAGACGTAGTGTCGCTGCAGAAGAAAAATCAGACCGGAACACCACGGATGCTTATTCCGAATCGACCGCTCAATTTGAACGCAGTCTCTTGAATTGTGCATAACTCTGTCACGGTCGTTGTACTTCCGCCACGACTTTCGCAAGAAGAGTCTGATGCGTGTTGTAATATTTCATCGAGATGAGCTGCAGTTACTCACTCCCAGCGCCGTGAGCGGTGATTGGTCAGTGCGTCGTCGAGAACATTATGGAATTCCGCCTGCGTAGGCTTTTCGACACCGCAACTGTTGCGACGATATGTAGCGTCGCACGATGGGGCACTGGCTCACGACCTCGCAGAATCCGCATGCAGTCAGTGAGTGTTGATCAGCGATTCTCCGTCGGGAACCTGTCAAGGGCCTGGCTGACGGATTCAGGTCCAATACTTGTCATCTTTCAAGAACAAATCGAGCTGTATGAGCCCACAGATTTCTACTGTGCAATTTCAGCCACCATTTCGAGACGGCTTCATCCTTCAGCAGACGTGCAGGAAGGCGATAAGATGAATAGATGCGGCACACCTTGCAACGCGCGCGCGGCTCACGATTCATATAGCATTCTCTCGACGCCGACACCCGCACCGCCGTGAGCACATCAAGGCACACATACGCTCCCTCACCACTATGACGTGCACAACATGATGCGCCATGATTTACTCATGGTGGCGGTGGCGCATTTCCTCGCCTTCGATCGACCGATCGATCTCGAGCCTGCACGTGGCCCTTCAGGTCGTCCTGAGTGGAGGTCATGCTGCTGGCCTTTCTTACGATTCCCGGCCTAGCAGTGAGTGTATGCTGTGCATCGAGAAGTTCTAGCAAATCGTACGGATGGTTTTGCTCTCAAACTTTGACATCGATCCACCATTTCTACCAGATGTTCAGGTGCTTGGCGCGTGACGCCTAGTCCATCGCTCCACCCGCTCTCACTGCAATGTCCGCCTCCTCCGCAGCGCCCGACATTGAGCTCTGTCAATTGTCTCTGATTGGCTCAAGGTTGGAGCTCCGCGCGGAATTGACTGTCCAGCAGGCATGGGATACGATAGCATTCATGCGGCAAGGCTATCCTCCTCACTCGCAGGATTTGGCAAACACCTATCGCGCAAGTCTGTGTGGATCTACCATTCGGCTGGAATCCCAATTGACAGCGAAAGAAGCTTCAGCGCTCGTTTTGCACCTTGGCCGTACACTCCTGGCACCGCTGCTGACGCGCGACTCGAGCACCGACGTGCCACTGGTGAGTGGACTTGAATTTTCCACCTGTGCCGCACCGATCATGCTGAGGCTTGCGCGGACTTGAGAACACCACCAGGTCAACGCGTTTCATGATTGCGAGACACCTCGCTCGCTTGCACTATCTCCGCTATCGGAAGGACGTTTGGACGTAGCTGTCGCGGACGACGCGCTCGAAGTAGTCGGACATGAGCACACAAGTACGGACCCGCTTGCCGCTACGCAAAGGAACGCTTCGATCCACTCTTTGCCATCACGACTTGAGCCTAAGGACACTGCATCAAGCGCGTTGAGACCTTCGGCAAGCTTGCGAGAAGCTAGCAGAGTGGCTTTTGCTCTACATGAGCAGAGGCAAGCGAGGGAAGAGAGAGAGCGTACGCCGTCCATCCGCAACACGCTCTCACCCACCTTCTCTTCCAACCTGTCTGCTGTTGCATCTCACGAGGCAGGCCGTACGGAAGGCCACCGCTCTCCCGTGCCTTTCGGGAATGGAAGCAGGCTGTCACGATCGACCGCTTCGGGAAGGTCGACTTTTGGCTTCAGTAGCCCGAATCAGCCATCATCTTCGAGGCTTTTGCACCGCCTCTTCACGCCGATACCGAGCCCAAGTTCTAAATTCTCTGCGCGCAAGTAAGGGTTCGGAGGCAAGACGTGGACCGTTTCTCTTGGTTGCACCGCTATCTTCACTTGTCCTCGCGATGATTGGCAAGAGTCAGTGCTGCATGTGTACAGTCGAGTAATCAAGGCAAGGCGAGGGAAAGCCAAAGACTCTCCTCAAGGCAAGGGGAAGAGCAACTCGTGATTGTCAACACGCAGCTTCATCACCGAGCGAGCGCGAAAGAAGAAACAAACTTTGCCGTTGGAGCGCTAATATTCATGCAGTAGCTGCATATCGGACGCGCGACACTCACACTCACACTCGATCAGAATCGTGACTCAACTCGACATCTCGGATACCGTGTGGTCCCTCTATGCATGCATGCATGCATGCATAGAGGCCCAAATTGAGTAAATCGAAAACTTGGATCGTGAATCAAAATGCAATCACGAATCGTGAATGTGAATGTTGAGAGCGTCTTGCGTACATCAAGCCAAGATAAATCGCGTACCACGTGACAAGAGCTCCTTCCTGACTTGATGCCCTTTGGGGGACTCTTCTGATGACTGCTTCACCTTCGCTTGTCTTCCTCCTGAAGAAGCAGCTTGGTTCGTTGTTTAGTTGGCTTCTTCTGCACCACCATCCTGGCGCGTAATGAACACGGGGGGAAGCTGAGTCGCTTGCCCCTGCCACGTCAGAAGGACTTGGCACGCAGTCAGCGCAGGTCTCATGCAGGACAAGCTGCACACACACTCATTGACGCAGCCTTCCGTCTGGATAGGGTTAGGGTATCTGTAAAGAAGTGACGGCTGCGCGACGCGTAGGTTGCTATTCACCCCCTCAAGTCGCGAAATGAGAGGGTCCAAAAAAAGACTTGAACAAGGCGTACACATGAAGCATCAAGCGATCGCCGTCTTTTCGGATGCGCATCACCTTTGCGAATCACTTCTACTGGGGATCCGAGTCTCAACCCCTTGCGCGGCTCCGGTGATGCCTGCTCCTCAATAGTCGCGCTTTCAAAGCAGACACGCTTGGGGTTCAGCGAGTATGCAGACACTGGTGACCTCAGAAGTGTCGTTGAATAGCAACATTGATACCGCCGATGAGGCAGTCCTACCTCGAGCGCATTTAGCAGCCCGACCTTGTGTAAGAATTTTGGATTGGTGCAGCCGACTTCGAGCAAATGCCTGTAAACGCAGACATCCAATACACATCAACAAGGGCGAGCTCGCCATATCGCTTTGGATGAGGTAAGTTGACGTCGTTCGTGCTCAAGCAGACTCGACACGAATGGGTAGCGAATTCTGTTTCCGTTGTCCAACGCGCCTATAAATAGGACGCTGGCGCTCCACTAGCCCACGATCCACAGCTTTGAGCATCACAATTGGCTTACCTACAGCTCTTTACAACCACGTGCGCGAGCCAGCTTTACCAGGATGCTTGCCAAAAGCTTCGCTCTCGGGCTTCTTGCTCTTTTCATCTGTCAGGCGTCTGCCAACTTTCTCTTGCCAACCTTCGGTCTCTACAGTGAGTCAAAAGATGACTTCGCGAGTCAAGTTCGGAGACCTCTTGCTGCCCAAGTTCTCAAGTTCATTTTTATGCTTTGTCTCTTAGAGCTGTCGCATGGATTAGAAAGCTTCAACCCTATTACCGCTTGCGAGCTCTTCATGCGCGTGTGCCCAAGCATTGCCGGCAAAGGCGGTTATGGCGACTGTGGCCCTTATAAAGGTGTCACGGCACTCTGGTGCCAAGGCATTGGGTGAGTAAGGTATGAGCGTGACATTCTTCGACGACTCTGAAAGCAAACATTTTGTCGCGATAGGTCCAACGGCGATTTGGAGGATAGAACGTCAAGTGTGATTGACACTATCAATGGCTCTCTTGAGGCCAGCGCTCATAAGTGGGCAATCGAGTCCATGGCAATCTGAAGGAAGGGCAGCTGTTCTCGTGGGTCTGAGGGCTTGCGTTAGCACACAGTCGAGTCCTGCAATCACCGATCCTTCGAGAACTTAGGATGTAGCGAATGCGCAATAGAACAGTATGCGATTGTATCGCTGGTCTGTGGTTCGGTATGCAAGGCTCGCAGGTGGCAGAGCAAGTACGGGCAGAATCGGTCTATGCGGCTGCAATTTACTTGTTTCATCACGTCCCTCTGTCGGCTTTCAGAGCCTAGACAACGAATCTGTGTCTATATAGCTGTTCGGCTAGGCATTCCATCAAAACACGGTAGTAGTAGAGAGCAGACCCAATAAGTCATTGGCGCAAAGATTCGATGACCGTCGGGCGCAACTTGCGATATGAACGCGGCCGGACCGCGGCAGTCCGTTGCAGATTGATGGTGCGCCGGGACCGCGCTAAAAGGGCGGGCCGGTCTAGGAACAGCACCAGATTCGCCCCTTGCCACGCGAGAGGAACGGGCTCCCACTATTCCTCGCGGGAATAAGAGTTCACGAGTCACTGGGATGAGATAAGAACCCTTGGCGCTCTTCACCATTGCATTTTTGCCTGAACACCATCATTCCCCGATTCGAGACATCAAACCTCGAAAATTTCCAGCATGCTCGCCAAACTCATCTTCGCTATGGCCATTGAGGCTGCAGGCTCAACGTATACTGAGTACCCGACACTAAGGTTCGACGATAACAGCCCCTGGATTTACAGTGAGTGGTGGTATGGTCCTCGCTTTTGATGCGCCGAGGTAGCATGCTCAAAGCGCTATTCAATCTGGGCACATTGACGTCTCAGAGATGACTTCTGGACTCTGAGACTATTCTGTGCTAAACGCTGCGGGTCTGTTTCTCAACACTTGTCGTGTCAATTACGCGCAGACAAGTGGCTCGAATGGCAGCTTCGGTCCTTATTATGGAAAGATAGCTCTGTTCTGTCGTACGCCGACGTGAGTGCCGCGGATGACTGAGAATGAGTTCAGCTTTCGCTCATTGCGAACAGTAGCTGAATCTTGCTGAGAACAAATTGCTTCGTACGATGCAGGTCGGGTAGTGATGAGACGCACAACCTCACGGGCGAAGTCATTGATTACATCAATAAGCATGTGCGCGAGCCCGGCACGGAGGAGTGGAAGATTGAGAGCATCCCGAAGGAGAGCGGCTGAGAGAACATTGATACGACACATCGGACCAGTGCTTCACTTCATCTGAGTCGGTGCAGAGCTCGACATCAGAAAGGTTTGTCCAGCTTCTCGTGGGCGGAGGCAAATGTTTCAATCAGAATCCACTTCCAGTGGTCTTCTGTCAGCGCTGAGCGTCGACCTGACAAGATCCTCCTTCAAGAAATGCAATCTGCTACCAATCGAAAGCTCCTACGCTCATTCTGCCCATGTCTGCGTCTCATATGAATGAATCATATCGTGGTGTGTGCTGTGTTCCTCAAAGCAAAGCGGGCAAACGCAATGAGCTTCGTAAGCGGCACCGCCACGCTTGCGATTCATCGTACGCCAGACGTTCATGATACGCAGTGTCAGTCTCGAGGGCCTGCAAGGTACCAAATTCACTCGTGACTGAGCAGCCGGCTTCGGTAAGTGCCACTCGAGCGCGGGGTTGACTGCTGTATCGGAGTTGCGTGATATCGCCACTTGCCGCGCTGCGACAAATGAAGGCACGGCCATCACTTTGATTGCGTTCGAAGGCCCGTTTGCGCGCGGAACGCCTCATCCGAGCGAAATGTAGGCTGACGTCGTTGAGGAAGCACAAGGGCCCGTGGTACGATCATGCTTGAGCACTCACTGACTGGCGTACTCGTATTCAATGAGCTGTGCCTGGGACACGCGCAAGGATGATGATAGTGAAGGGCCCTCGTTGCAAAAGAGACATCCGGTCATGCAGCGCCGCTCACACGTCAAGCTGCCGGATGCCAGCGATCTAATTCCTCGATGAGATTTTGCCTCTCCCTCCCGGCCATTCGCCCATCTCGCACGTGAGGCCCAGTATCCTTTGTTGTCATAATTTCAAAAGTACGCAAGCTTCCCATTCGAGACTCTCACCGACCATAGATTTGCCTTTTGCCAGACTGTCTTTTACCTTGACGCCATTGCCCACCTCGAAAACATCTCTACAAGCCTTCAACCTCAGCAACACGAATGTGATGCGCTTTTGCGAGCTGTCAACTCATTTGTTGCTCGCTGGGCTCTTGGTGGCTTACGCAAAGCCTGCTTATGGCTTCCACTTCCCGGGCTTTGCTCTGTGGCGTGAGTGCAGCGCAGCAATTCGTCAAGCTTGTCATTCGTCGTTGCGCTCACCTTCTCTTCTTTTGCATGTTGTGCCCAAATAAACACACGGCCGCTGCAGGACTGACCCAAGGCAATCCAGCGGATTGGGACGCAGATCCCACGGGAGCATGGAACAGTCTCTGCGCGAATCAGTACGGAGCGGACACGACGAGTGATTTTGGACAGGTGTCTGGAGTATACTTGTTCTACTGTCACACATTTGAGTGAGTGCATAGACTCACCTCTGCAGATAGAAGAGATGAGAGGCTAAGCGGGCGTTCGTGTGTGGTGCTAGATATGACAAGAATGACAAGAAGGGGCAAAGAAAGATTTGGTCGGATCATACGGATTACATTGTGAATTGGATCAACCAAAACGAAACGCCGGATCCTGCCTGGCAAGCTAAGGCGCTCGATCTTTTGAAGCCTCATCAACGCTGAGACGATCATGGTAGGGTTGCGAATCTTTGTGCTCGGGCAAGCGTGTACGAGGAAGCTCGTAGGTTGGGGGCCAAGCGGGCCGATTCTGTCGATTCGCTTGCAGTGTTGCACAGACCGACCTGCAATAGATTTCAAGTCACTTGTCGTCGGCGGTACTGTGAGGCGAAGCTGAGCAAGGTTCAGAGCGCATACTCGCACCATGAAACTTGTGCGCTTTGGTGCAGTGAGCGTTCTGGAATGACAAGTAGAGATGGATGATGTCTTTGTGCTCGTCCTTCCCACGGCCGGACTTACTGGCTGCTCATTGCGATCGACTGAGCGCACAGTGTCCGAATCGCCAACGTGTGATGTAACAGAAGGTCCGCGGCCGTCGGATTTACTGGCTGCTCATTGCGATCGTCTGAGCGCACAGTGTCCGAATCGCCAACGTGTGATGCAGCAGAAGGTCCGCGGCCGTCGGGACAAAATTCAAGGCGCAGCTCATTGATCGCGGGTGGCGTCGGAGTGCTGATAGGTAGCGGCGGACATGATTGTCTGAGCTTTGAAGCATTGCCAGCTGCCTCCTGCGTATGCCAGCCTACTCCATTCCGTGGCCCCTCTCTTTGCGTATAAAGCGTCGTGCTCGGTCTCGTTCACATCACCTCTTCATCGCCATCACCGCGTACCTTTCAAGAACGCGCATCTTGCCTGATCTTTGCCCTGTATGCTCTTCTTCAATCTCAATGTCAGCTTGCTCGTCGTATGCGGCCTTCTGGTGGGCGTGAGCCAAGCTCTTCAGCCCGTCAAGATACCGGCATTTGGCTTTTGGGGTGAGTAGCGCTCACTGCGCGGCCCCAGTGCCGCGCGCCCGGCCAGCCGACCATTCACATTGCCATCCTTCTCGTCGCTCCAGAGCTTTGGCATAGCTCGACGAAGGAGGTGGGTGGAGATGACGCAGCCGCAAAGCTTTGGAACGACAAATGTCACGAAATCTACGACGACGAGAGCAACATCGTGAATACGGATTTCGGAACATTTGAGAAGAAAAAGGAGAATGGAGAAGTTGAAGTGGTCATCGCCTTTTACTGTCACTCGTTCAGGTAAGTCTGCCTACCTCCGACTGAGCTGCTTCCAGCCGCATGCAAGATCGGTGCGCGCACGACCTCACAATCACCCCTCGAGGCTTTTACTTTTGCAGAAAGGATGGCATCTGGTTCGACCGCACAGCTCACTGCACCAACATGCTGAATGCGTTTGAGCTGCACGACAAGGCCGGCTGGATGGGCTACACACTTGCCATCCCACGCAAAGGATGAAGCACGCAGGGCAGGATGCCTTACAAAGCCTGAATGCGCCTTTGAGCCAGAATGAAAAAAAAGCCTTTAAATTGCGCGATCAAGTGGTCCTCGGCTCGCTCAACTAGTAACAACGTGGAAGTGCGGTGCAGGGGTGTGACTGTGCCGCGCTGCGTATTCAAAATTGCAGGCGAGTCGTTTGGAAAGTAAGCTATCAATCTTGAATGCATTCGCCACAATCTCGCGTGAGCCATTGGGGGGATGTGTGTGCACGGGAAGACGCGGGTGCTCATGTCAAGTGTGTGACTCATCTGAGTCAAGAAAGACGAATCGATGAGCGAGCAGGCGCAGTCAGGGACTTGCGACTGCGGTTGCGGTTGCGGTTGCATGGACGCACGCGTATGCAGGCAGGCGTGCAGGCAGGCATGGCGCGCGTGCGCGCGCGCGCGCGCCTTATGTACGTGTGTCAAGCTATTTACCGGCAAGCGGCGACTTGGCCCAGTGGGGTTGAGCGTCCATTTGTTGAAGAGAGTATGACGGACCGCTGTTCAGGCCTGGTCTTGTTCCTCCACGGTTCGAATCCCCCTCTGGGGTTCCGCTAAGGGGCGCGCGTGTTTCGGGCCGGATGACGAGAAGATCTTCAAGAATACACATTACAACTTCAAAATCTATCGCGATAGTCCCTCAAGCAAAACAAAAAACAGAAGCACAAGTCATTCCGGCTAGACCTGTAAGGCTATCCCCGCGTGTGGCTCGCCTTCCTCCTCAAGAAAGGTCGCACGTCCACTACCTAACTTCCCAATCAGAGTGCGGGCTAAGTGCTCAGACATTCCAATCCCGAGAAAATGCAGAACATGTCCCGAATGCTCCCGCAAATACAAAGTCTCACGGGACTATAAACAAAATATATTTTGTTTTGCTTTTCTTTCTTTTGATTGTGTGTGCTTTGAGCGAACACTCGTGACTTTCGATGCTGAAGGCTCGCACTCCTGGCACTTGATTCATGTCCTCGGGCCGCATCATATGTATCCCTTAAGCTTTGTTGAGGACATCTGAGACATCTTGTGCGAGTCACGAGCTAGTGTGCTCTTGCTGTCTGCTCCAACATCACTCACAAATGTCTCTGAGCAAGATGACGATACATAGCTCCCTTGTTCCAGGTGCATACTGATAGAGTCTGTCGAGGCAAGGTATGTGAGGGCGCAACTTCAATGTGGATAGCTAGATAGGCGTCTAGCTCCAATCGGATGCTCGACATGCGTTTCAGATTTTGCATGTGATGAGACCAATAACGAATATGTCTCACAGTCGTGAGTCACTCGGTAGCGCGCGTGATGGACGTGGCCGGATGAGTAATCACGAATCATACATCAGTCGGTGATCGAGTGGGCGCAGCCGTCAGAGCAGAGTGCCTGCATGGGAAGCGCGATGCTTGTGGGGCGCACGCACGAGTAATCGTCAATCACTCGATTCCTCGAGCTCAAAGCTGTAATCGAGCTCATGCGGGAAGCCTTGTCCAGTTCAAGCTGACTCTTGGCTGCTTGATTGCAATCAGGTATGAAGCGCAGATGTTCAGTCGAGCAGAAGGGCTTCAATCAAGATTCGCCTTGTTGCGGTGCGCGCTTATAAAGACGAGCAATGTGTGCAGCTCGATCGAGATTCGACAACCTCGCTCGTCCAGTGCTCAGTCTTTCTTCATCAGCCCATGCAGCCCGGTCTCAAGCAAGTCGCACCCGTACTTGCTGATCATCCCCATGCAACACATGGTGAGGATCCTTAGTCGAGCCGAGCCTGAGAAATTCGCGCTTTTTGTTTTGCCTTGCATAACTGCCGCTGATGCTCGTCTTGCCTATCCCAAGCTATCATGTCGAACAATGCAACCCAGACGAGTCTAAGTCAAGAGGTGCTCAAGGGCATAGACGAGAATAATAAGCTCCTGCGTGAAGATGCACTGGCCGCTCGAGCACACTTGACGAATCAGCATCTGGAAAAGATGTTTGCGAACGACAATGATACAGAGTATGAGTGCACAAGTAATCTGTGCATGGATCCCGCTTCGTGCCGCGGACCCAAGATCAAGGGCTGGACGGCCTACAAAGAACATCAAGCTAGCACGCACGGCTTGGAGAACATTACGTGGGAATGCAGAAAGTGCGGCCGAACATTCTTTCCCTACAGCGCGGCTTTGACCCATCTCACTCCAAAGACCAATACCACCATGTGCATCTGGCTCGACTTGTCGCCACTGGCGCAAGCCAGATGAGCGGCTATCGCAAGTGAGCATGATTGCAGTGGCGACAGGTACTCAGTAGCAGTAGCGAATGCGAGACGCTCACCAAGACTCACGCTTCGCCAATTGCACGTCTCTCATGCCCTCAGGCGCTAAGAAAACGATGCTGCGCCAATCTTGCGCACCATAATCAAGCATTGCACCGCTAGTCCATTAGCTCAAGCACTGCAGTCAAAGGCAAAGATTCTACAACTAGAGACTTCT